AAGCATGATCGAATATGTGTTATATATCTGGGCTACCGCCGCTGCCCTACACGAGGCGCCGAAGCCTTCGCCAATCCCTTCACCGGTGAAGAACACCCACTAGGTATTCCCACCCCCTTCTCTTCCCTGTCTGCTGTGCGAAACCGAGTTCCCAAACTACCTCAAGCTATTTGGCTATTTGATGCCTACTAACTTTTAACTTTTTGCAAAAACTATTGGGTGTACATGTGTACACCCATGTTCTTTACTAGATCCACTCAGTTGGCCTCCATTACCTACATGTCGAGGCTGCGAGCTCTGTGGTAGGCTTCCTTTAACGCCACAAAGAGAGGTAGCTTCTTACCACAAGTCAGAACCTTTTTACTGTGCTCGCTATCAAAGTTTGGTTCATTTCCTTGATGAAACACACAGTGTGTAGATGTGCTGTGCATAATCTTTGGTGCTGTTGAGCCGTTCAATGATAACTATATAAGGTGTAGTCAAGGTCATGGATCTTTACCTGTCTCCCGAGCATTGAGGAATTGGCTTTCTTTTGTGGGAATGGAAAACAAAGAGTACAAGTTGTCCAGGGTGCAGAATAAGAATTTTCCTAGTGACAGATTGAAATATGTTGAGTATTATGCATGATATGAAATTTGCAAGCATATCGTATTGTCAGCTAGATATTAATCATGTTGAATTATCATTATGAATAGAATATAATGCCAGTTTCATTCCATATGTACAAGTAGTAGACTTAAGACATCTTATAGCTACTACTCATGCATTGCAGATCTGAAATAGATATGTGGTGTGTGGAATTCATGGTGTCTCCGTAGGAATAACATGTTTTGCTAATCTGTAAACAAGGAAATTATGGAAATTCTGCTTTTAAGTGTGCAGAATAAACTCTTCTGGAAAATACATAACCTCCTTAACTATCTTGGTCTATATTAATTTTTCTTCCTATATGCTTAATTGACAGCTCTTGTATGGAGTTCAGAGTTCATATGATCTAATTCCACCAACTGAAAGATATATCTTCAATTTCAACTCAAAAGATGAGCTGAAGAGGTGGCATTTGTACTCAGATTCAGAGTATGGAGGTATTGCCTCACTTTCGAATTATACTTTTATAAATGTTATTAATTGCTACAGTTTCTCTAAATACTGATCTGATACCATAGTATAATTTGTCCCTTTGCTTTGTGGCTGGGAGAGTGGGAGATACTTATGGATGATTGCCTGGTGTTGAAAATGCTCCTTTGGTTTTGCTCTCAGAATATGTTAAGAAGATGCTCTTTTGAGTTTCTGATGGTTCACAATGGAAAAATGTATTGCAGTTCAATCTTGTCCTAGTAGTCCCCAGTATATTACTTCTAGAATCATCCTAGCCAGCCCCCAGGCATTTAATAAGAAGACATTTTCACGCATGTCGAGAAAACCCCCGAACCCCTGCCCCACCCATACACAGTGGCACCGTAGCCCATGTGAGAACGACCACGACCACGACCACAACCTGGACCGAACCTTAGACCTGTGCTTTGGCGTGGGACAGATGAGGGGAGTTTTTTCAACCCCAGCCTGAAATTCGCTCCCATGGGGAGTCGGACCCAAGACCTGAGAGTGCTACTAGAGCCACCTAACAAACTCAGCTAGAGGCCTGTTCGCATCCATACTCCATTGATTCATCGAATTGTCCCTTTGCTGCCTACATTTTCTCCTTTGTTTGCCATCAGCATGAATTATTGAATTATATGTAGGGTTTACATATAACACTATCATAGCTTGCTTTCCAGATCATCCAAATGGGAGTCAACCACACCTTGTGTTTATCAGCACAGGATACTTGATACTGAATAAACTGGTGCACTACTGTATTATCTCCTGCTAGTTTCGAAACCAGTGGATCAGATAACTGACAAAGTGACGATATATATTACATGGGTGAACCTTCCCCTTCTGCAGGAGCAGGAAAAGCATTAACACTTTAGTTTGTTGTGTACTCATACACTTGTGGCTTAGAACAATATGAGTGGACTTGTGAATTCGATAGACTATATTTCCCAACAACTGATAATACCCTACATGTGTATTAAATTCTTATATCTTTTAAGGACATTTTTCAGCTTTTCTGCAAGTACCTAGCTTCTTATTTACATCTATGATAGAATATAATTGGACAAAATTGTTATCCAGGTTTGTCTTCTGCATCCTTGGAAATAACTGACGGCGCTTCAGGTGGAGATACTCCATTAACTGGTAATAATTGTTCTACATTCTTAACTTTTCCAGCTTGTGCCAATCATTTTAAGTTTAGTTCGAATTGGGTAATTTTTGGTACAAGAGAAAACAAATGATGTATTTGTAGCTTCTTTCGTTTAGCATAATAAACCTCATTAACCTTGAAATGCCTTTTAGTAGTTTCCTCGGAAAATATCTGAACTGAATCCAAATTATCAGTGGATGCCAGCTGCTGTATTTTATTTAATAATTGAATTGAAACATTCAGGTGTTTTTTTACTTATGATTTTCTTTGACTGGTTCGTAAAGTAACCTTTTTTTTGACATGTGTATTCTGGAAGGTGTGTTTTCTGATAATCTTTCTTTGGATATGTCCGAGGACTCAACATGGAGGATCAGGCGCTATGGATTCTGTGGGATGCGATCAAAGAAGGTGCATTTTTCTGTTTTAGTGCGACACCGGGGTACTAACCTGGTTACTTCCGTAAATGCTTATCCCATTTCAGCAATGTTGTCACCAGTGATGGTAAAATATTTACGTGGTAGCTTTTGAAAAGTGGTTGTCAACTACTAATCAGATATAACGAAATAGAAGTTTTTTGAAATGCCACCGCAAATACTAAGCATACCCTATATAGGCTTAAGAGGTTTTAACATCCTAGGGCTTTAGATCAAACTGTTTTGTTCTCTGGAGGTCAGTGAAGTCATATCAAGTGTCTTAGGATTCAGTAAATGATGCTTACTTAAGACTACCTTCTAACACTACAAAATAAGAAATATAGGTGCTTAAGCAGATGCTAGCTCCTAGCTGAATGTCAACAGAAGTTAATCTGTGGAGTGCTGATTAAGAAAAATTCCTTTGTGCTGTTTCAGTTTGATGGTTTCATTGACCTTGATGCATATGATACAATAGCAATGAAGATCAAAGGAGATGGAAGATGCTACATATCTACCGTATGTTTTCCCACACAAGAGTTACTTTTGAATATTTGATGTCCAGTCAGTATCGTTCTGCAGAATCTGAAATTTTAAGTACAGATATACACGGAGAATTGGGTGAATTCACCCGAACAACAAGAAGACAACTCATGGCAGGCTTTTGTGTACATACCCCAGGACAGATGGCAAGTCTTGAAGGTAAATTATCATTTGCTATCATTGAAAATTCGGAATATGCGATTTTTTTTATGATGAAGAAACCGTTCCCATTCCATACAGATCCCTCTTGATCGCTATTTACCCACATGGAGAGAAAATGTGATTGAGGCAAAGTTGGAAATGAACCCTGCTCGAATCGTGGGGATGTCTCCCCGTAAACGCAGAAGGCGGTGTTCCTGGTGCCAAGTCTGGGCCTGGTGATTTTAGGCTTGAGGTTGATTGGATCAAGGCATTGGGAACGCTGTGACCTCCACAAATCAGTCTTATTTCACTGCTTGAGTTTCACATAGGCCTTTTCCTTATCTTCGTTTCATCCCGCTCCGACGCCGCTGAAATTTTATCAGCCAAACAAAACCACAGGAGTAACCATAGCACAGACAACCAACTCCTTTATGCACTTTTAGCCTATTAGACTGTTTCCAACGAGGAACCTATATGGGCACCCAAACCCAAAATGGGTAGCAAGAGATCCAAAATCAGCCTTCAACAGAGTACATATACGGGAGACCTATTTTGGGTTGTCTGAGAGGCACAATCCAAATATGGGCATCATCTCTCCTATAAACCCATTTACAGAAAGAATTCTCTTTTGGGTCTTGTTGTTGGAGAAGATGCTGAATAGGTATTGAACCTTTTGCCTGTATCACTACCCAAAGGATAAATGGATCTTGTATTTTTGGTGTTGTCGTTGGAGATAGTCTTAGGTGTATGAAATGTTTGTTTTTGTACCAGTAGCGGCTTCTGCAGTTCGGCACCAATGAATAATGGATTCTGTTTAACTTTTGAGGTTACTTAAGGTGTTCCCTTTGGACAGATGTTACTTTTCTCATAGCATCTGATCGGCTGATCTAATGATGTGCATTCCATACTGACGATTCCGTTCAGCTTGCAGAATCTTAGCTGAAACTGACTGAAAACACTGTTTTAGCTGAATTGTTGTGAGAGAAAAATACTGTTCCGGCTGAAAAAATAAGCCGAATATAGGGTAAGCCAAACGAGGCTAATGCTAGAGTAGGATTCAATTTAATTATTATTTGACTCTTCAGAGCACTACTGTTTGATCATTTGAATTGGACACGTTCACTTATGATTTCAGGGAACGACTTAGAAATGCATGCTAGAAGCCGGCACTGTTGCAGTATCCAGAATTGTCAGCCTGCTTACATTGCACGTTTTGCTAGAGTTCAAATGATCTGTTTAGACCTCTTTGGTCGACTAACACATTTCTCACTAAGGGCTTGCTTGGCTGCTATTCAATGTCTGCGCTGCACACACCTTCAGCAAGCAAAAACACAAACAGGCACTGCACTGCACTGCACCGCACTGGGAACTTTGCTTTCTATCTATACTCATTCATCTCATCTCTTTGCCACCAAGTAGATGTGCAACAAGGATGGGCTCACCTCACACAATGCCGCTGTATGTACAAATGAATGCCACCACAGCTATAGACAGACAGATCACACCCTACAGTCCACCGGAAAAATTTTCGCCTTCCCTTGTGTTGGGGGGCTCTACACGACTACACCTAACCGACTCCAATGTAACAACAATAGGCTTCATATGGCAAAACATCTATGCATCTGTGCGCTGACCGCTCTGGTCGATCGATCGGATGGTCACCTTGGTCCAGAGAGCTCCATGGCCTCTAGGCCAAGCGAGGATTCATCCGCGGCAAAATCCATGTACTTTGGAGGTAAGATCTCCGACTCATCGGACTTTGGTGTGTCCACGTTCTGCGACGCTTCCCATTTCTCTGCGAGCCCGTCCCCTTCCAGCATCCTGATTACCTCAGACATTCTGGGTCGGTGAGATGGATGGTATTGTGTGCATAGCAAAGCCACCTGAACCATTTCCTCCAACTCAACCCTGTCGTAGTTGCTACCCAAGTCTTTGTCCACCATCATGCTTAGCTGCTTTTCTTGATGAAGTTTCTTAACCTGGAACCAGACAAGCAGAACATGTTCATGGCAATACAAACAAAAGCTTGTCATTTGTTTTTATTAAAAAAAAAATCTCTCAAGAGACTAAACTGAATGGCAGAGTAAAACAAGGTGTAAAATATAAAGCAAATATAGGCATTTTTTCATTTAAAGTTTTAGAGCAAATTTGAAATTGAATAAGTAAACACAAGATGCATGCTTACCCAGTCGAGCACTCCACCCTTCTGATTCGCTACTCTTCCAAAATCCAACGCCTTCTGACCAGTGATCAACTCAACTAACAGAACCCCAAATCCAAACACATCAGTCTTCTCTGATGACTGGCCAGTTGACAGATACTCTGGTGCTATATGTCCGACAGTCCCACGAACTGCAGTTGTAACATGAGACTCCCTGTGATCCAAGAGTTTTGCCAATCCAAAATCTCCCACAATTGCTTCGAAATATTCATCAAGAAGCACATTGGAGGCTTTTACGTCTCGATGGATTATTTTTGGATCGCATTGCTCATGAAGGTAGAGCAGACCCCGTGCTGTGCCTAGTGCTATCCTCTTCCTCCTTGACCAGTCTAGAGCTGGCTTGCCATTAATATGTTCTGAATAAAATGAAAGAAAGTTAATTTGCATACATAGTGGACAATACACGTGGACAAGGCTTGTATGGTGTTTGCTGTTATCGATTAACCTAATACCACATGCCTTCAGTTGAAGATAGCTAGAGATTGGTTTGATAGCTTCAGTTCATAGTCCAAAACTGGGCTTGAAAGCAATATCACATGGACATATAACATTATTGCAGACCTCCACAGCGGGAACATGAGTAGGGTTTAATTTGACCAACATAATTCAACGGTCAATGGCACCATTATACGTTCAATGGAAGGACGTCAACATGGCAAAGGCAAGCTGCCTGTCTGGCATAGTTGATAAGACCGAGAATGACCAGTCATTTGTGTTCGAAGAAAAAGTGACCGGGTATTCAGATCATTGTATAAATTAGGGTAATACATTTTAGACTGTAATATCCATATGACCCATCAAATTTTTCACATTACACCATGCACAAACCACATTCGCCTATTATAATTTCAGCAGTAAATAGAGCACGTGGTGACTATCTGTGATAAGTAGATGCAAGACCAGCTGCAACACACCAATAGAAATCATGCTAGCTTGCCTGTTTGTAGAAACAGGCATAAGATGTGGCCTAGACAACACAAAACTTTATTTAGTACTCCCTCCGTTCCAAATCGTAAGTCGTTCTAACTTTTCTAGGTACTTTTGCTATGCATCTAGATATACGCTATGTCTAGATACATAATTTTTATCATGTATCTAGAAAAGCTAGAACGACTTACAATTTGGAACGGAGGGAGTACTACTCTATGCACTATGCAGCAACACTAAGCAAATAGTGGAAAGCCGACACGTTTCACATCAACTATGATGCATCCAGAAATAGGGTAATTATTTCATGTTAGATACAAGAAACTTATTTAACAGTTATGCAAAAGTGTTAAAACATTTACAAATTAAAAATTTCCATCCAGCTTTGATAGCCATTTTACCACTCAAGTTTTTCTCAGTGGACATTTTCGTAACTGTTTTTTATAGCCATTTTCCCCATCTTTCTTGTCTACTTAAAAATTTGGTCCAGCTTGCAACAGCATATGCACATGGAAGTCATGAGCAAGAAGAGCGACTAACCCCGCAATTGAGAAGCAACACTTCCATTTGGCATGTATGGATAAACAAGTAACCTCTCACTCTCTGTAGTGCAGAAGCCAATGAGACGGAGGAGATTCCGATGAACAGCCAAGCTTATGACTTCAACTTCAGTTTGGAATTGAACTTCCCCACCGGCGGCATTATAATCCTTCAGCCTTTTGACAGCAACAACAGAGCCATCACGCAAATAGCCCTTGTATACTATGCCATATCCACCTTCACCTAAGATGTTCTTTGAGTTAAAATTGTTAGTAGCTGCATGGAGCTCCTTGAAAGCATACTGCTTCAGATGGCCCAAACAAACTTCTGGATCATATTGATCTGCGCATTGAAGAATGTATCAGGTTCAATTACCATGCTGCTGTAAAGACAAACAATGTAGCATGCAAGAGAAGGACAAACATTGTAGAATGCTAAGGGTAAGATAAAAATACCTCATGATCATTAAAAGGTTAGAAAGGGCACATAAAGTAACTAGGAGATCATGATTGTGAAATAGCACACATGCCAAAGTCCAAAAGTAACTGGGAGATCATACAAGTAAAAACTAAAAAGCAACATAAGTTTTATGCTGTATACTCCTAATGTCAGTGGTACTAAGTTACTAGCACATACAACTAATGTTACCAGGTGCATCTATTTTATGTTCAAATTTGCGAGTGATTTTGAAACTCCTTATTAATGCCACATGGCTGAAAACAAACAACTCTCAAGTCTCGAGTGCTATTGGGGAAACAACTCAGCTATTCAGCTTACTGAAACTCCTGTAGCTCAAATTGACTAACAACACTTGCATTCATGTAAATTTACTGTGGGACTGACCAGAGAAAGCTCTAAGGTCTTAAAGTGCTAGCGGTTGCTGCAACTAAGAAGCTAATCTAATGCAATTCACGCCTAGATCTAGGTGGTGGTTGGTTATCATGATCACACAAGAACAGAATAAAAAAGGATATTACCATTAACATCAAAAAAGATCTGCTGATTTCGCCTATGACGCCACCAAAGAAGCATACCAACTACAACAGCTACAAAAGCTACTGAACCAACAGTTGCTCCACATATTGTAGCAATATGATGGCTCTTTCCAATGCCTTGTTGTGGCTGAGCTGAGGAAAAGGAGACATATGTGAGTGCCACCCAGAAGTAAAGGTATTTATTGTCTTCTGTTATGCCTTCCCAAATTTGAACAATGGAAAGAGATCTCACTTTTCAGATCATCTGGTGGGTAAGAGAGTGGGTCAAGTGACACAGAAGAGCAGTTACCTCCAGACTTGTTACCACAAATCATTGGATTTCCAGCTATGCTGTATGAACAAACAATAAAATCATCGCGTGACTATACAAACAGTAATCCTGGCATAGCATGTAGTGTTCAGGTAGAAATCATTTCAGTCAAGAAAATGAATAAAATTAAAATTACTTACATAAAGGTTCTTGCAGAAATCTTGGGTAATGGGCCACTGAGATTGTTAAACGAAAAATCTCTGTAACAGAAGCCAACTCAAGTGAATGAGTACTGAAATAGGGAAAGAGCAAATCAAACAATAAAATGGGATTGCAGAGCATACACGAGAGCAAAACCATCAATGCTGGCAAGTGAATCAGGCAGAACTCCAGACAAGCTATTATTGTTCAACTTCCTGGTAGCAACAAGAGAGGTAGAAATGAGCCAAAACAAAATCACTGTGATCCACGGGAGTGCTGAAAATCAACATTGAAGTAAGAATCTTACAAATAATTGAGGTTATTGAGATTTCCAAACGAACTTGGGATACTCCCCGTGAGCTGGTTATCTGACATGTCAAGAGTCTTTAGCATCCCCAGCCTTCCTATCGTACCAGGAATAGGGCCAGAAATCGCATTGTTCTGTAACAGCCTGTCGATCAGCATAACAAAGCACTTCGATTCATTCAACCAGATTGGACCACTCAGAAAACCTTAGGTTTGAATTTTGAAGTGCTATGGGTAAACAATAGGGGGGCGAGTAAACTTACACAGATTGCAGCTTGGTGAGGTTGCCGATGCCGGGTGATAACTTCCCGGACAAGCTCTGGCTAGGCAGTCCTCTGCAAACGAAGGAGCGCATGTGAGAAGACCGGCCGAAAGCAGCGACCGCTGGTGCTCTTCAGAACGGGCATGAACATGGGAGCGTAACGTACAAGGCGGAGACGTAGCCGTCGGAGGAGCAGGTGACCATCCTCCAGCTGCAGGGGTCGACGGAGTTTATGTCCCAGTTGTCGAGCACGTTGTAGGGGTCCTCCAGCTCCGTCTTGATGGCCATCAGAGCCACCACTGCGGTTCAGCCACAGGCAAGGCAAGGTTCAGCTTCACCAAATTTGTGATGCCAAGAAACAGCTAAAACTCGACAGACATGATGAGTGATGAGGAGGCACAAGCACATCAGGTACATTTCATTTAATGTTCTTGTTCATAGTGGATCTTTTACCATCACAATCTTTGAAACCGGGGTTGATCCAAAAAAAAAACAGAGGATTTTTCAACAAATTTCAGCAAAAAAAACATGTGTTGCCTGATTGAAAATGTTGAACATGCGTCTTTTTTCTTCCCAAACAAAATACGAACAGTTGGGCATTTTATTAAGACTTTTGGAGATGAGGAGGAGAGCAGGGTAGGTACCTTCGTAGTTGATGCCGGCAGGGGAGAGCGTGGCGTTGGACGGCGGCAGGATCACGGCGAGCAGAGCAGCGACCGCCACCCACCGCCACTTCATCCACATCCGGGGCCACCGCGCCCGCATCGCCGCAACCCCGCAGATTCAATTCGGCAAACAAGCCAGAGAAGAGGAGGAGCAGACCAGTCACCACTCCACAGCTCCTCCAAAGCAAAATTCCGCCGCCGCAGCAGGGAGGAGGACGAAGCAGCGGCAGCAGCGCTCGCGAAATCGGCAGCCAAGAAGAAGGCACTCTCTATCGGACGGACCTCGTCTAGTCCAGATACCCAATGATGCCACCGCGGACGCAGCGCGAAAGCGAGGGGCCGAGGGGGGTTCACACGAGCTCCGCAGAGGAAGATGGTGGGGGTGTGGGGCACGCAGGGGCAACAGCAGGGGGAGAGAAACGCCAACGAGCAGGAGCAGGGGCAGCACGCAGCAGCCTGTGCTGTGCCTGTGCCTGCCCCTGCCACTCCCTCCCTTCCCCACCTATCAATCCAGCACCATGCTCCTGCCGCTGCCGCGGCCGCTGTCCGCTGACGCCGCTGATGCCCACCCACTCCACGCCGCTGCAAACGGCCAAGCGCTTTTCCCCCGACCCGGCCCGACCTGCCACGGGCGCGCATGCCTAGAGCTTGCAGCTACCTCACCTCCATCCTTTTCGTTTTTTTTCCACTGCCTTTTATTTGTTCCCCTAGATTTTCTGGAAAAGGTGCGTGCATTTTCAGAAAAGCAAGGAAATGCTCTTGCTGATTTCGCTACCTCCCAAGAATCTTTTCTGTGGATGAACGAACACATTACACATGCAATTTGATACTTTTTCACAGAGAGAAAAAAAAATCAACTTGCCGACGGCTGCGTGGATAGCCTTGTTCAGAAAAGACGGCAGATGCTTTGCTCTTGCTCATCGGAAAGCATACAGGCTGTTCGTTTTGTTTTATTGGGTTTATAAGTCATGGTTTATCGGTTAATAAATAATATTTTTTTTCGTACCAAACAAATTAATAGTATTTTTAGACATGACTTATAAATCAAAAAGCTTAAACGAGCGATAATGTTTTACTGCTACATGCAGTGTCGAATTTGCTGGCATTATACTACCAGTACATATCACCGGCAGTTGTGCGTGTTTGGCGAGGATAAACAACTCATCTGCCTGCCTGTTAGCATAAGCTTTCTCAGTGTTCTTTCTTGTTGTCATCAGCTACGCATCCACCCTACCTAACGACAGTGCTAATGACAGGAGTATACAGGACGCATGTTTGTCATGAACTAGTCTACGAAACCGAGGATGTACTACTGTCAGCACGACTCTCTACGCTGCGGATACTGTAACGTAATGCTGCCAGCACAGTGGTAATAAAGAACGGAATGATGGGGGAATATAAGAAAAGCGGACGACGGCCATGTTTAGATTACAAATTTTTACAATCTGGAATCATTGTAGCACGTTTTGTTTGTATTTAACAAACTTTGTTTGATCATAAACTAACTAGACTTAAAAATTTGTCTCGTAATTTATAACCAAATTATATAATTAGTTATTTTTTATCTATATTTAATGCTTTATATATATATATATACATTCAAAAATGGATGTGATAAAAAAAAGTGAAAAAACTTAAAACTTTGATATCATCTAAAGAAGACCGAAGAGGTTAAAAGCTTGCGGGCACTGGCGAGTCACATGCTCACCTTTTATTTTGTCCCGTCCTTTCTTGTCGCTTGTCACCATCACCCCCCTCCCTCTCTCTCTTGATCGTCAGTGTCATGCTGGTAGCGGTAGAATCTATATTTTGTTATATTTTTTACATTCCGCGACATCCGGTCCCCGGCCAGCTTGCTACTGTGTTTTTGAATCGATGGGGTTCGTCATTCACCCATGAAGCATATAGCTTCACCCACTGAGGCCATGTTTACTTAAAAAAAAATTCACTTTAAAGTATCATATCGAATTTTGCGGCACATGTACGGAGTACTAAATATAGACGAAAAAAAACTAATTGTACAGTTGAGTAAGAAATCACGAGACGAAACTTTCGAACCTAATTAGTTCATAATTAGACACTAATTGCTAAATACAAACGAAAATGCTACCGTAGCCAAAACAAAAAAATTTCACCATCTAAACGCGCCCAGTTGGCGAATTTTTTTTTGTTTTAGCTACTGTAGCATGTTCGTTTATATTTGACAATTAATGTCTAATTATGGACTAATTATGTTCGAAAGTTTCGTCTCGCGATTTCTCACCCAACTGTACAATTAGTTTTGTTTTTCGTCTACATTTAGTACTCCATACATGTGCCGTAAGATTCGATGTGACACTTTAGGGTGAAAATTTTTGGGAACTAAACATAGCCTAAACCAAGTAAAATTAGAGACAAACTCAAACTTAAGGCTATTCTACGCACTAAGTCTACTAGAAGATAAGCACCTTTTTTTTAAGAAGATCTCCATTATCGATGTCTCCAGCAAACGATATGCCCTCTTTACTATGGGTTTATTGTGCTCCTTTTTTTTAAGAATGGACCAACAACTAATCCATTAGATAGCTCAAAAGATTAACCACAAGTGCGAAAATTACTTGTTGAGCCCAGCGACTAAAAGAATCTGATAAATTCTTCAGAGGCTATAAACGAAATACAATTCGAATAATCTTCGGAATAAATCTTGCAACATGACAATCGGAAAAACAAATGTCGTTGTAGTTTCTTTGTTGTTGCAAAAATAACAATTGTCATCGCTTTTTCAATAGAGCTTTAGAAGATTGTCTTTTGTTGACTAAGAAAGGTCTCTAATTTTTTTAAGAGGTAACTGTTAGATTGATCTCCACCAGTTGGCCCAACGGCCAATTGGGTCCTTGATCCGCGTCCTGATCGGGGGCGCCTAGCCTTTCTCCTGGTTGATGGGCCCCCATCGCGCAGCGCTGTCGAGGACCAATACTAGGGTACTCGAAGAGCAGGAGCTAATAACCATCAATATTGATTCATCCGAGCAATCAAGAGCGCGACTGGAGCTCCAACCAACCCCCAGGTGCGCAAGCTCCGCCTCGCCCGGCCTCTGGGGGCAGGCTCCGCCTCGCCCGACACCGAGGGCTGGCTCCGCCTCTCCCGACCTCTGGGGGCGGGCTCCGCCTCGCCCGATCTCTGAGGGCTGGCTCCACCTCGCCCAACCTCTGAGGGCGGGCTCCATCTCGCCTGACCTCTGGGGGCAGGCTCGGCCTCGTCCGACACTTGGGTTTGTGCTCCGCCTCGCCCGACGTCGAGGCCGCGGGCTATGCCTCGCCCGACCTCTAAGGGCTAGCTCCGCCTCGCCCGACCTCTAAGGGCTGGCTCCGCCTTGCCCGACCTCTGAGGGTGGGCTCTACCTCACCCGACCTCTGTGGGGGACTCTGCCTCGACCGATCCTGAGGCCGGGGGATCCGTCTCGCTCGACAGAGACCCATACCGCCGCTAATAACTCTAGGTCCAAGCGAATGGGTCTGGGTCAAAGCTCTGACACCAGGGAGGTGACCGACACGCCCCGATATAACCCGTAGCCATGATGGGCCATACCTGGGGATTCACATCAGGAACAACATAGAGCGTACCGGTGCTGTTCTGCCTAACCCTCGTACAAGCACTGACAGGCGCGTCAGTTCACCATGACGTCCGCCAGGACGGAGTGGAGCGCCACGACCGGGAGACTACGCTTGCGCATGGCGCCAGTGACAGACAGGGCCACGACGTGGAACTGTCCCTATTGACGTTTATAGGGTCGGCGGGTCCCGCATGATGGAAAAGGACCCGGCGATCCTGGAGGACTTCTTCTCCTTCTCAAATGAAGGAACTATCCCATTCAAATGAAGGAGCCATTGCTGCCACGAGTCCCACGCTCAACTGCGACCGGACGCGTCCGGTCACTTCGGACCGGACGCAGGAGACGCAGCGTCCGGTTGAGTCCAAAGAGCTCCCAGAGCCCCTCTAGGCTGACCGGACGAGTCTGGTCACACCGGACCGGACGCTCCCAGCGTCCGATCAACTACTACGCTGAACATCGACACTTGCTGGTTCACACCGAACGCGCCTGGTGTGGCGACCGGACGCGTTCGGTCGCTCTCTGCAATCCAGTACCTAGCTACATTACTTTGACCGGACGCTGAACAGTAACTCCTCAGCGTCCGGTCACTCCACTGAGCCAGAGTCCGGTCATTAATACCGGACGCGTCTGGTCGCCATACCAGACGCGTTCGGTCACTCCGTGACCAGCACGACTAACTCCTTTTCAACTCTATCTTCTTTACCCTTGCCCAAATGTGCCAACCACCAAGTGTATCACTTTGTGCACATGTGTTAGCATATTTTCACAAATGTTTTCAAGGGTGTTAGCACTTCACTAGATCCTAAATGCATATGCAATGAGTAAGAGAATCTAGTGGCAGTTTGATAACCGTATTTCGATACGAATTTCACCCCTCTTAATAGTACAGCTATCGATTCTAAATGTGATCACACTCTCTAAGTGTCTCGATCACTAAACCGAAAAAAGCTCATATTAATTTCACCTTGGCCTTGAACTTTTTGTTTTTCTTTCTTCTATTCCAAGTCCAAGCATGTGATCATCATCATGGCATCACCATCATCATGTTATGATCTTCATTTGTTTCACCACTTGGAATGTGCCACCTATCTCAAAATCACTTTAATAAACTAGGTTAGTGTAACACCCTTGGTGTTACGAGCTTGTTTAGCACCGCGATTTAGGCCTAAGTCAAATTTTCGAAATGAGTTTCTCGGGATTTTTGATTTAAATATACTTGATGTGATAAGTGAATCCGGTGACCCAGTGTTGTGGACTCGAATAAACACCCAAGTTAAATTACTTAGTGCATAGAAATATTAGGAATGTCCGATGACGGTTATAGCAAATAAATAGCGAACGATTTGTTTCATTGATTAAGCATGAAAAACAATTTTTATAAACAAAAATACGATATGACTGGTATATGGTACTTAAGTAAAATTCGGAGCATGATTTTGGTTGCATTTAAAATATCGAGTAACAAACTTTAGTGTTTTAGCCGTGTTTGAAACTATAAATAGTCGGCT